AAGGAATTTCCTTGAAAAATTCCTCGCCTAATGAATATTTCGTTTGTTTGTATGGAAGTGTTACTAACTCTGAGATATAGTGTTGTTCTCCAGTGCTGCATAGTTTTTTGGAAGAATGCAATGAGTAATGGATATATTTTGTTTATTATTATTATTATTATTATTATTATTCTCATCATTAGGGATGTGGGAATAAATAGCATGCTATGAAAATTAAGGGAATTTTAATCAGTGATTCATCATCAATGATTATAAAAAGATTACAAGATATCTTGCAATCCATTTTCTAGATTTATTTATTTATGAAGTGAATACATTCATTACACAATGAAAACAGATAAGAAAATCAAATAATATTTAAATATTATATTTATACACATTTGCATTACATAGCACATCTGCGTGAAAAGAGTTATAAGTAACAACATGGGTAAATAACAAGAAACAAAATCTTAAGGACTGATGAAATATCAGAGAAGTCTGAATGGAATTCATGATGATATCAAAAAATTCTTTATTGAATATCCACTTTAAGAGACTAAGAAGTTTAAGTCAAAAAGATTTTTACAAAGATTCTGAACAAAATGAGTAGGCAATTACTATGCTGAAATAATCCCTATTTAATTAAAATTTAAATCTGAACTTTTATGTTTCTTACATAAAAATGATACTGCTTGTATGATTTGACTTCTTTAATTTTAAATAAATCATTTTCAACTATTTTACAGATCATTTCAAACAGATGAAATTTTTACACAAAAATCAATTCAATAATTCTGTGAAAATTAATACTTACTTTCTCAAAAGCTTTTTTTGTACCAGCTTTATAAATTTTCAATTTTCTCTCTCTCTCTTTTTGTTTAGCTGCTTCTTGCTCGGCAGTAGTTTTTACTTTCAATCTTCCATGCTAAAAGTAATAACAATATATGTATATAATAATGTATATAATAACGATGATGATGATTATAATTATAATAATACTAATAATAATATTTGGGAGACCAAAAACCTATGTGGGGATATAATAGTTCTCACAACTAATTCCATTCATTGTAACAGATAGACATTATATTGATTGATTAAGAATATAGTTTTATACAGGGCTGTGCAATGCTATGATACAGAGAGGCAGTCACATCTGGCGGCATAAGCAACATTTAATGGGTGGCATTTCAAAGACTTGCATCATACTGAGAAAAAATCTACTGCACAGCACTGATTTTATACTCTTCATCAATACAAAATTCTCAACACAAGTACCTTCAAGAACGTGTATGCTAGGAAAATTTGGAACACAAATTCTCATATGGGCTGCCCTCATTTTATGCTGGTCTGATTTACATTGATCGACAATAACATTGGTTTCAAATTTTCCCCTAAAAATCTCAAAACATTTTTCTGCAATGTGTAGAATAATTTTTGCAACTGCTAAATGCAATTATTTTTACCATGCCTTATGGTAGTGCTAGTAGCACTAGCAGAAACATTGCTTTAATAATTCTAAGCAGTTTTGGTTTGTTTATTATTCTAAAGTATTTACTGTTTACGTGATATTTTACCATTTTGCAGTGAAGTTATTGCTTCTTTGGATACTGCACTGGTATTAAATAATCGCACCATAATAGAAATCATAAAAATGCAGTGATGTTTCTAATTTTACAACATTTTCAATAATTTTTTATCAATCTTCTTCAGGATAAAATGGTGATCGAATAATGGTTTTTGTTCAAAATGAACAGAACATATACATATTTGTTATACATTTATATTCCCTTCATTTCAAAAGAAAACTGCTTTGAATAATAAGGTTTCAAATTTCAAATACACTACGTTATTCAGACATTTCCATTTTTCAAATAATACCTGAAGGAGATCTTAGGGGAAAATTAAAAATATTTGTTTTATAGTGAAATAAAGTTGCTGGGCTAGATAAAGGTATACTGTGGTTATTTATTTGTTTCATTGTCCACTTTTGTGAATTATTTTGCTTTCACATAAAGTAAACTGACATTTCACAATAGTAAATATCATGTTAGCAATAATTTTATACAGTAAAAGTCCTGTAATCCAGCAAGCAGCTGAATTATTGAAATTGCTGAAATATTGAGATGAAGAATGAGATACAATATATCCGGAACAGATCACTCACAAACCTCCTGGAATTGCTTGCCAAATTTGATCCCAGAGCAGTAGCCAATGCCTCGACTGTCTCAACAGTCATCTCATTGTCAACAAGTTCATAGTTTTTCTTTTGCTCATCACTTTTTTTAAGTTGGTATTATATTCAATGTTCAAAATTTGTTACTCTGAAAGTTGTCAACCTGGTAAGATGTGAACTCTGAATAAGGAGTTTGTCAGAGCCGTAACTAGGCAGGTGCAACAGGTACATTCGCACAGGGCCCACTTGGAAGGGGACTCAAACTGCTGTTCAAAAGAAATTATACTTTTAAATCTTAAATTTTTCCTCCTTTTTATTGGTGATTACATTTTGCCTTATTTACATCCTAGATGTCTACTCACCAGTGTTCCCAACCGTGGTGACTTTTAGAGGGACGTAGTGATATAGCGGAGACCGCAGACAAATCAGCCAAAAGTAGCGACTTTTGAAATTTTGTTTATTTATTTTTTTAGAAATTTAAATTTATGTTTATAGTTTTCAAATTTATAGATTTTTTCTCTACTTTATAGAGCTCTCTGGTAATGACTAATATTATTATATTATGATATACAAAACCGTATTTTTAGATTTTTCTAGTGTGCAGAGCTATAAATCTGTAAAGTTACATTTTGTAAGAAAAATAAATCTGCCCGGGGATTTTTTTAATTGCTAAATTGCTAAATAGAAAACGTGGTAACTCTCGAATAAAATCTTAGTCTCGAGGTTGTAAAAGGCGTGCAAAAATTCTGACATAATTTTTTGCTTTGTAGTGGTACGTATATATGTTGTATACCTCAACGGTGGATTAAGCAGTAAGCAAACTATGCGGCTGAGTAGGGCCTCGAAGGGGCCCCCCAAGGTCTTTAAAATGCTACTGAAAAAAGGCTGATTTTTGCTTTCTCTATGGCTCTTCTTTACAATACATGAGTGTTGCTGATTTTAAAAAAAAATCAACTGCAGATCTCGCTATTAAATATAGCAAAGATTAAAAAAAGTACGAATTCACAAGTGAAATTGAAAGTTTTAAGTTTGAAGTAACGACTCTTATACAAAATATAAAAACTGCATCTCCGCTTAATATTCTACAGGCTCTTCATGATTTTGGTTTAATTGAATCTTACCCAAATATCAATGTCGCTCTTCGAATATTTCTAACTCTTCCCATTTCTATTGCTTCGTGCGAGAGAAGTTTTAGCAAGTTAAAATTAATAAAAAATTTATTAAGATTAACTATCGGGCAAGAACGATTGTCCAATATTTCTATTATTTCAATAGAATACATTATCATTAAAAATANAGTGCAATTCATTATTTTCCAATTTTCTGATATATATAAATATATATATATATATATATATTTCAGTTCAATCTGAGGTAATGGTACTGATATATATTTATTTCTGTGTACAAATTCAACAAGTTCAACTAAGCTATTCTCCTTTTAAACATTTAATGCACTTTGCACTGAATCTTATTGTAAAGATGATACCAATAGATGAGTTTAAGAGGCAACTACTTCAAGTGTCAAATTAGAATACATACTAAAAAGTGCCATAATGTTCATAGAAATTTGCATTGTTCTTAGGCTTACCTCAGGTTGAATGGTACTGTTAGATGGATACAGGTCTTTAATATCTTGACATTAATTAAAGATCTGTATGCATCACATATTAAAGACAGGTCTTTAATACATGATTTTTCAATTTTAACTCTTTTAATGTTTTGCAATACACAATGTGAAACACAGATGAGTTTTTGTGGAGCATTAAAGAATGTTTTCTAAATAGTAGTTAAACTTTTAAAATATATTAAATATTCAACTGAAAAGAAATATAGCTATACAAATGTATAAATACTCATACTACTATTTTATATATAGTACAGGTATCCCTTATATAACACAGCAGTTACATTCTGAAAAAGTGCCATGTTATGCAAATCCATACTCTACAAAACAAAGGACTAATGCAAAACATACGGTTATGTTCCAGAAGTTAGAAAAAGTATACTATTCTTTTTCATTACTAAGAGGTATATGTTTATTAAAGCAATCAATAATTTATTTCCAATCAATAATTAATTAACAATGACAATTAAAAGTACTGTATAATGCATTAATATTAATTTTAGTTAAACAAAAGCATTTTCTTTTTACAAATATCCTTGTCATCTCGATCTTGATCAGAAGTATCAGCAACATTTTCATATTTTTTATTTTTATCATAAAAAATTTTTATCGATGACAAAATATAAATATGTTTTTAATCAAAAATTTATTCTAGTGAATTGTGTTTGTTCAATCAAGTTCCTAGCATCTTTTGTCCAGAATTTGTGTTCAAATACTAAATTGTTCCAGAACCAAGACATTTCATTCATTTTTATGAATGGTTACTTATCTACAGTTAAAAAAATTTAACATTTACCTAAAAATAAACTTTATTAAATATGAAAATTGATCTATGTAAAGAAAACACAATGACTATCTGAAAGCAATGACAACAATATCTGGTTGATAGAAAAATTAGTACAATTTATTTCTTCCTTGTCCTATCAGTTTTTGTTAAAGTAAACCTGACGAAAAGCAAGAAATAATTTGAAAATTTCAATATTGTAAAATCTGTACACAAATTTGAGACAACACACGTGTTTACTTGAATAAAAAAAAAAATATATTGAATAATGAAGTTTACACTTAAAAATTGTGAAATTTTGTACAGAGGATTTCCAATACTGTGTTAGAGCAAATCTGAAAGTTGGGGATATCCTCAATTTTCAATCATGTTAGAGTGAAACCAGGTTGTACAAGGGATACCTGTGTATCAAAGATTTAATATAGACTCACAGTTTCTCTCATCCATTTCGAGAAATTTGTTACAGAGATATATTTCTTTATTCCAATTAGGTTTAGGCATAAGTAAAAGACTCCAGCGTCTATGATGCCAAGCGCCATATGATTTTGGATTTTTTCTAAGACATTCTTCCACTAACAACAATTCGTTTTCCAATAACTGTTGTAAATCATCACCTACTCTGCAATAAAAAGTATTTAAAACACTTTAATCCTACAAATATAAACAAAATTAAAGAAAAAGCATTTTTAAACTTCAGGAATGTTATCAATATTGAAAATAAAGTTTAAAATAATCTTAAATTTGCCCCTTTTTTCTATAAAGTTGACAATAGAAAGTAAGTTAAGTATAAATAACATTTTTCAGTTTAATTTAGCAAAAATATGAAATAAAGATTTACTTTCTTTATTTAGTATTGAGAGAATATCCTTCTCATCTTCATATTTTAAAACTAAAATATAATTAAACAATATAACAACAGTTTTCTAATGATAATCTAAATATATAAAATTGCTTGTCCTGACTGACTGACTAAATGACTCACTCACTCACTGATTCATCATTGCCCAGAGCAAACCGCTGAACCTAAAGAGGTGAAATTTGGTAGACAGTTAGGGTACGTCATGGAAATGCACACTAAGAAGGGATTTTTTGAAATTCCTCCTCGGGTGGAGAGGGAGAGGATTAAGGTTTAACTGGAAGAACAGCTTCTACTGTACTATTTTACATGAGATTTTTTGTTTTTATCTGCGTTTTAGTAGGGTATGCCATGAGAATGCACACTAAGAAGGGATTTTTCGAAATTCTCCCACGGGTGGGAGAGGAAGAGGATTTAGTCTTCAACGAGTACTTAGGTGTATTAAATTAATAACATTTCAGACATTGTTATAAATATTTTTATCTATTTCGATTTTAAAAATGTTCAAACCGTTTTAAATTCAAATTTGTTATTGCATATTGATTTGCCTATAGAACAATTGTAAACGTTCCAGAAAACTGATCAAATTGAAAATAGTTTGTTTGATTTGTGGCAATTCTCATCATTCTCAGCGGTAGGTGTTATATAACAATTACTATGGTTGTTGAAATACTAAATATAAATGGGGTTTGCTTGCAAAATCCGCACGGGCAAAGCTGCGGGTAACAACTAGTCAATAATATAATAAAACATCTTACTGAAGCCATTCATTTTTAAAACTGAAAAGCTGATGTTTTTTCTTTTTCAACTGTTTTATAGTGTTAACTAGTTGCTTTTTAATTGTAAATTCTAAAAATGAGAGCAATATATCCCTGAATTTAGTATTCCAAAGTATTTAATAAAACACAAAATCTACAACTGCTACTAAAAAGTGGAAGATTATCCATATTCTTACTACAGATTGAAAGAAGTCAAATGACAAAAATCTGTTTTATTAATTAACAGTTTAATTTCTAATTATATATATTGTATTTGACATAAAATTGTTATCAATAATTAAAAAAACATGTAAAATAATTTTAATCCATCCATCAATTTATCCACAAGACTGCATTATTAATATAATTTTCAATTAAAACCATTTCCTGTTTAATATATAAACTAATAATCACAATTAAAAAATAAATTTGATCATCACATACACTCAAATCTCTAATGACAGTCAACACTGATAGTATTTTTTAAAATTTCATACTAAATACGCAAAAAATAGAATTGTGTCTAAATAAAAACTAAAAATAAAACTGGTAATAAATTCTTGATTAATTTATAAATATTTTTTCTTTTATTTTTCATATAAGTCTTTTTAAGAATGAATAAAGGAAATTTTTATCTAATGGTAGAACTTCATTAATATACAATGTATTAGGATCAATTTTACATTAAATTTTAATCCTTTTTCAGATTTGATCCTTCCTTGATAAAGCCTGACAGCACGTGGATCATGACAAAGTTATCAAAATCTTTATGTACAGTAATACCCCGAACTTATGCAATAGGTGGGACTGAGCGATAACCGCACAAGTCGAATTCGTGTAAGTCAGGGTTCACAATTTGTGTAAAATCCAAGTTGGATGTATGTAAGCTAATAAATGTTCTCATTAATCTTATATCGTCCGTAGATATAACAAACACAGAAATAAATAGCACAAAATAAATTGTAGCTATATGTCGATTCTGCGCAACACGTCCGAACATGTAAGCTGGACAATAGTGTGGGGGGAAGTGAGTAATCAAGGGTTGCGTGGCACTCAAACAAAAGATGAATTGACGAGATTTGAAAATTGCATAACTCCGGGTTTGTGTAAGTCGGGTAGCATAAGTCGAGGTATTACTGTACTTTCAAATATGTATATTTGTTAAGGACTGTTGTGTTTTATTTTGTTATAGCTTTTTAGAGTAATTTTCTTACATTTCTTTATCTCTACTTTCAATACTTTTTGGACTTTTTGGGTTTACTTATTAAATTTTATACATTGTCCAATTAAAATTCTACAGTATTTCACTAAGTTGAACTGTGCTAATTCAAACCTATTTTCTTTTGTATCTTCCACCCTTTAATGGGTCATTGATCTTCATTTTCTGTTATATTTTGTGTGAATACAGGTGATTAAGATAAACAAACACTACATCTCCATACTGAACACACCATGCCACTACAACATCATGTCTACATTGTTTTACTGAAACAATATGTTACTAGTGTTCTGATTCAGACACAGGAGAGAGAGCATTGTGGGTCCGAGTGTTGCGTACAGTATTATAAAATCTGACTGTAATTATTCTACTTAATATTTTGCACAAGTAGTATTAGTACAAATAGTATAAATATGCAAATCTAAACTGTAGCTTTAGTTAATTGAGAAGTTTCATTTGAATTTAATTCATTCTCCTTGTTCAGACCAAATAAACTGTAATTATCAATTATTTGGTACTTAAAAATTCTGAATTCAGAAAAGCAAGACTGAAATCTTTAAAATAATTTAATACAGGTGTTTACCATATTCTACAAACGATGCATCATTCCTTAGCTGATAAGTAACTATTAAATTATGTCAAATTACAAATAAGATGTGTTTTATTTTACAGTGGTACCTCAGGATACGAAATTAATCCGTTCTGAAACTGAAATCGTATCATGAAAATGTCGTAAGGTGAATCATTTTTCCCCATATGATTACATGTAAAACCAAATAATTCATTCCAGCACGAAAAACACACTCAAGTTAAAGCTAAGTAGTACATTAAAAAAAATAACTATAGTAAGGAAAACACTGAAAAATGCATTTTGTAGTTGTAAATGTATAAATAACCATAATAGAATAATAATTGATTAAAAAAAATGTAGTTTTATTTGCATTTTACTTTTGAGGATAGACGACGGTGGAGGTGTAAACTAGTGGTGGAGGAGAGGGAGAAGGGAAATGATACTAAAAGTTAACTTACATAACATAATGTAACAATAACTTAAAAATAACTTAGAAAAGATTTTAAAAAATTAGTGTTGTTTTATATTTTTTTTGTTTTAATTTTTATTCACTGCTTTTTGCTTTTTTTCCTTCACTTCCACCAGCACTTTCACTGGATAGAGGTCGCTTGGTAAAGAGCTTTGACTACTTTTTAAAATGTTTCTAAAATGACTTAGGCAAATGTCATTACTCCGAGTAGCAATACAGCCAGTGCAGCAATACCTTTTCGGGATGTTTCTTTTTAATAAAATCAGTCACTTTCTGATAATACCTCAAGATTTCCTTTATTGAGTGAGATCCTTCCACAATGAAGCAAACATGGGACTGAGACCGATGAACAGAAGTGAATTAAAAATGCTGCTGCAAACTAATGTAACGTCGTATGGTGAATTTTTGTTTGTATCGTGGAGCAAAAATATGTTCGAATTTCATGTCGTATCCTGAAAATTTCGTATGCTGGGGCATTCGTATCCTGAGGTACTGTACCACTGTATACTTAAATTTTTGTATAAATAAATCTATGAACAATACAGGAAATTGTTTAATTTGTCATATGAATAATATTAGGGCATTTTATTGGCAACTATTCTCTAATATTTACATTCATAAATTCCATTACATAGTTTCATTTATTTTATTATTTTAGTTTCATTTATTTATTTTAAATTTATCTTAAAAATACATTAGTAAATAGGAAAATAAATTGAGATATATTAAAGCCATACAAATCTATTTTATTTCTGAATATTCTTGATTGAAGCCTATTTTAAACAAAATCAAAGTATTATAAAAGAAGCATCAATCTGCTTTGTTGTTGCTGAAGACAGAATACTCAAATATGCCAAATTCAATAAAAATTTATGAAACAAACAGAAATTTTTGGCAACAAAACAAACAGATCAAACTCTTATTAAAATAAATTAATATTATAATAATAATAATAAACTTTCAAATGAAAAAAATATTCATATTAACTTTAAATTAAATAAATCTATTAAAAAATGTAATTTATTAATATCTTTTATAAAATATTATTGTGTTACTTTTCTTTAGACAGATGTAAAATAATTTCTTTTCGAAAATTCCACAAAGTATAGAAGTCGGGATTAGAACAGAGAAGTTGTGACGTTATCTGTAATGCTTCGTCATCATATTCCTGTGCTTCTCTCTTAAAAAAAAAAAAAAAAAATTATATAGCAGTGAAAATACAAATTATAAATTATGAATATTTATAATTATAGTATTTTTTGTTTAGTAAATAAATAATCAAGCATTAATTTTAAACTATAAACATTATATAAAATAGTTTTATTTATTTATTTGTTTGTATCAATTATTCAAACAAAAAAGAGTATTAATTAATGTTACATTCCATACAGGTTTTGTTACATTAGAAAGTGTTATAATAGACAACTTGTATTTATTATTTTTACATTGATTTATATTTATACACATAGTCAAATATATATGCATAAACGTATAACTTATATATGTATACATGCAAGATTTCAGAGTACTGGTATTTATTTTTTAGAAATTATTATTAATAAAAAGTTTCTAATAAACATCTGATTGTTTAGAAAGTAAAATGCTCTGTAAATTTAATTGCATTTTTAAAATTTATATTGCAGTATTAGGAAAATATTTTGAATGTAAAAAACTTGTTACAGTGATAAAATATTATTAATTTTCATTTGGTTGCAGTTATAATAGTCAGTAAACAGATTATTTTATGTTATTTTGATGAAAGATAAATTAAATATAAATTGTATTGATGAGTAGAATAATAATTGTATTATTATTATGTGTTGGGTTTAGTGGGCTACTCGGTTCACACCGGTGGCTGTGTAGTATGCCGGACCAGAGTCAAGGCATAGCAACCAAAAACAAAAATTATGTAAGTGTATCAGTATCTGTATTCAGGAATTTCCTAACAATATGGCATGTATTCAATATAGTGGCCTTCTGTAGTGTGATGTACAGTATGTATTTCTATTCAATTGTAATATTCCCAGGCTTTTGTGTAGCGTGTGTGGTATCACACCTGTACGGGAGAGAATGACAGGTACAATAAGCACCCTATCCATCCTCCACAGATGCCTTATTTCCTGGGTGAGTTCTGTGTACTTGCTAATTTTTTCAGTGCATGTGTTTTGTACATTGTGAGTGTTTGGAATGGCTATGTCTATAATGTATGTGATTTTATTGTGTTTGTCAATGAGTGTGATGTCTGGTCTGTTGTGGTAAATTGTTTTATCTGTGAT